GTTCTGTTCAACTCCTATCCATACGTTGTCCTTCAAGGATAGAAATGTATCTGGAGGCAGTCTTTTTTCACAACAAAAAATCTCCTTGATCTGTCATTGGTGGGTGGGGAAAGGGGGTTGAAGAAAAGTTCAGCATTACCAAGTGTTGTGAGAAAACCTTTATGTTCCTCACAAGATTTAGACAATGTTTTTGTAACTCCTTTGCATGTTTCAAAGTGCATTAAAGAGGAAATAAATACAAAGCTTTAAAACGCTAACTTTCCAATCATTTTTTCCCAGACCACACACACAAAAAAAGCACATAACATTAGTGTTTTCATGCTGCTAAGACATCATTAAAAATAGTCATACATACAATGCTGCTCATACTTTTTCACTGAAAGATTGAAGTTTATGTGATAGCTCTCTATTCAAAGATAATTTCAGCTGACTCCAGATAGAACTCAGATTCTGAATTCTAATGATATCTGCTTTTGTTGTCATTTTTGCTAGCATTTTCATCACCAGCAATGGTCATTTAAGCGGAGAAACACAACCCCCAGTATGGAAGGATTATTTTGCTAATCTCCCTGAAAGCTTCCCCCAGGAATCAATATGAGGTTGTTGGTAGGAGACAAACTTAATATAAATCCTGGTGGGGTTTTTTTTGGAGTTTGATTTTAAGTTGCATGACATACCACAGTCATATAGAAGGTTATTTACTAGAATTATTCATTCTTTCATTCTGCTGTCCCCTAAATTTAAGACCCAGTTGGAATAATGTTTTCCTGTAGCTGCCGTGGCAAATATGCTTTTTATTACAGGAGAATCACACAGCTTTCAAATCCAATTAGAGTCCTGCCATCCTGCTCTGACATACATTAAAATTGAGCAAGTGAATCTTATAGAATGACCTGCTTGTTTTGCCATAGTTCTTTTTCATTCTTTTGCAGTTCTTTTATTAAAGGTTTCTTCAACCTGGATTTTTTTTGTTCCTGCATTCTTACAGTGAGTTCTTTTAGAGAAGGAGAAAATAAGAAAACATAGAAAATGTATTCAGAGGCAATGCTATAAATGGTATAGTAAATTCCATCTCAGATAATCCAAATAACCCACAAACAACAAAAAGATATAACCATTTCCAGGGTCTAACTGTCAGGAGAACCCACAAGGCAAAATAATAATAATAATAATAATAATAGTAATAATAATAATAATAATAATAATAATCACACGTGCTTTAGAAGTCCGTATCTCATTAAGCAGATGATGCCACTGTCCTGAACGTACATTGTGAACTGATTTCACCAAGAAATCTGAGATTTACTGTAATATTCTTCAGTAAAAAGACCCCTTCCAAAACCACAGATCATTGCAGCCAGTTCTGGCTGATTCTTGCTGGTTGAATGAAGTCTTCATTCTTTTAGGTATGAGAATTTCCAGTTACCATATCAGAATATGAACTAACACACTAAATATTTCATTCTGTGCAAAATTAAGTATCAGAGGCTTTAATTTATCTTCATCAAAATTGTCCCCATTGCAAGTAAAGTAGCACCAGTTCAGGAGAGTAAGAGAGGACAGGAATAATAATTAAAGCATAAATAATCAGTGCACATGACTTCATTAAAATTTATTGTTGAAGTTTTTATAATCTATCCTTTCTTTAAAGGTGCGTTACTGTAATAAAGTGTTCTAGTCTGGGGCACTTGGTTTTTGGACCTTGCAGAGACAGTCCTGCAAATGGAATGGGCCACACAAGTGGCACCATAAAGCCCCATCGTGCTCTCCTAAGTCCCATCAAGGGATCTTGGCAGCCATGAAAGGGGAAGTTTGAAGCCAAGAGTTCTACATCTGTAGATCCATCATTCATGAACTAGAGCATGCCTTTCAGAGTTCCTTCAGGGAAAGATCAGACTATCTAGGTACCAAGAAAACACGGGAGATAATGTGCTCAGTGATTCATGGGAGTTGGCGTGATACACACCGTATGTCTGCACAGTGAATGCCTGAGACTGATCAGCTCATATACCAGCTCTGTGACCAACAAATATAGCGCAACCTTTGCCCTCTCCTCTCCAATGGACCAAACATAAATGCACTGTGTCTGAGGCTCTTATCTAGCTGCTGAGTTCTAACTTTTGATCCTAAAAAATGAAATCACACCAGATCTGAGAATGGTCAGGATTATGTTTGCTTAAATACTTTGATAAAACTTTTCTATATGAAACAAAGCTTTCCATAATGGTTTTGTTTTATTTATCTGATGCAGATTATTTTTAATCATGGGTTTTCATTGTTTAATTCATTTTGTCTTGTGTTATTATGAGATTTTTATGCTGAGACCATCCCGTTTACTCATGCACTTAGTCTGTCCACACTGTTGCAGCTGTACATCCTTTGTAGCTGTGATGGCCTTGTAGAAGCAGGCTGTGTACACTGCTGCTCAGGAGCATTTGGAGTCATCTGGTATCACAGTGTACAGGAACTCTTTCTATTAGTTTTGTTATAATTTTTTGTCACAATGTAGAATCTGAACTGAGTATATAGGGCTGGGATTGTGTTAATTTTGCTCTTCTGCCTTGTTACCTTGTGATGCTGCTCTTTGTATTACAATTTTACCAGTTCTTTATCAAGTCTATTCAATTTCCAAGAGGGTGTGCCTGGAAGTAATTATTGTCTTCTCCCTCTGTGATACCTGTGCTTTCTACTCAGTGACTCACTCAGAAACCGTTCCTCTTCTGAACATTTTAATAGAAATGCCAAAGGTAGTAAGTCTACTTTAATGACTGAATGCATTGAAAATCAGAGTGGGTACATTAAAAAGAACTTCAGAGCTTGTCCTCAAAAAGCATTTGAAACCCCACCAGAAATATGGCTAATCTTTAAGAGCGAGACTGTTACTGTGGTGTCACGTAGTAGGAGCCTGTTCTACATTCCGAGGGCACTTCTTTGCATCTTCTTTTGAGGTACAACAAGGTCAAAGAATTTCCTTGCTTGCCTATTCTACTGGGCAAGAGGGTGGGAGGATGAGAATAAGCAGGTAAAGACTGGGGTCTTATTTTCCTCTAAGTCCCTCCTCAGTGGTCTTTTTTCTGGATTGAATGGATAGCAGTTTACTGTTTCATTTTATTCAAGGATCAATACACAGTCAAAATCTAACCTTCTGTTAGAAATGATGAGAACTATGTGTTTATATAGGTCACTGATTCATCAATGGCACTTTTTCCAGCTGAACTAATGGTACTCCACCTAGCTACTCTCCAGATCTTATTTATTATGTTTTATTTACATCAGCTCCTCTCCAGAGCCAACAGACACAATCATTAGCAAGGGATTCTCATGTTCTTTCTGCCTGGAAAAGCCCTTGTAAAAGCTGGAGGCTGTTACAGAAGTGTAAGAACCAACAGTGTTTGTAGCCAAGCTCCTGGCTTGCTTTCACAGGGCAGCCCCTCTGGAAGCAGGGTTCTCAGTGTGAAGCACTCCTTCATAAGATACTGCCATATCAAGGAGTGATCTGACCCATAGGTATTAGACTTAAGAAGACCTACTCCAAACTCTGCAAACAGTGAATGTTGATATGATCTACAATCCTCCAGGATTAACATTTGCGTTGAAATCAGTGACCCTTTCAGCTGTATTACTTCCCTGTACACTCATTTTGTACTATTTAATCTACATTTTTCCCTTCATTAATTTTGAGCTATGAGTACTTCTACCTGATTTCCCTATGCTGCCAACAGTCTTCCCACAGCAGTTTCCAATTTTGTTTTCTTAAGTACTCCTAAGTACTCATAGCCTGTTGTCTTGTCATTTTTTCTCTAGACAGGGCAAATTCAGCAGCTGGTTTTTTTTCCTAACCCCTCTTAATACAACTGTGTCTTAGTTTCAGCTGGGATGGAATTACTTTTTTCAGACTGTCTAGTATGATGCTGTGTTTTTGGTTCAAGGAGAAAACCAATGTTGATAATACACCAATGTTTATAGGTGCTGTTTAGCAGTGTTGTATAGAGCCAAGACCATTCTCAGTGAAGAGCTCAAGGAGCTGAGAGAGAACAGAATAAGGAGAGCTGATGTAAGCTGTCATCACATGAAAGGAGTTTTGAAGGGCTGAGAGTTCATCTCTTCCTTCTGCTGTTCAGGGGCACACTGGGCATTGGTCAGAGGGTGGTAAGCAATTGCTTTTGCTTCACTTTGTATATACATTCATATATATATATTATATATACATACATATAGCCAAACTATTATCCTTTTCTTTTTCTCTCTCTGTAAATAGTTTTATCTCAACCTACAAGTACTACTTACTTTTTTCTGATTCTCTCTCCTATCCCACTGGGAAGTAGAGAGCGAGTGAGAATGACTGAGCAGTACTGAGTTACCCCCTGGGTTAAACCACAACAAATAGTTACTGGCCTCTGAACTTTGAGGATTTTGTTTGTCTGTTGGCTGCCTGAGTTTAGTCTCTTTATTTAAACTACCATTGATTGCTAGTAGGGAATGCTCACAGTAGTGCACGTGTGGCCTTTACCAGCAAGGACTGTGTAAAATGTTGTTTTGATTCCATGTAAAATACCTTTGTTCATGTAGCCACAAGGACAGTAATCAGTGGGATAAACAGAAAGCACTGAAGCCAAAGGTAAAATCACTGAACACTGTGAAAATCTGCAAATGTTGAAGTTCAGTACCCACTCGTAGGAGGGGATTGATTTTTTTTATTATCATTATTATTAAAGAAATTAGAAATACTATTTTAAATCCCTCTGTCCTTGTGTTCTCCACAGAACGCTCTGAGACAAGCCTATCAGCTGCCCATCTCACATAAAGACACTGCGCTTCACCTGCTGGTCTGCAGGGTGCTTGCCTGGTTCCCCCATGCAATGCATGTCCCAGAGTGCCACATCTTATTGCCTGGTTAATGTGTCACCTCCCAGGGCATAACATTTACAGAAGGAGGTGAAATAACTCAGCATAAGGCAAGGTCCAGTTTGAAAGCACTGATTTACATTCAGGGTAAAGAGCATGTATTGATAGTAATATTACAAAAGGAGACACACAGCGTATCCTTTTTGAAAATAGCTTCTACATTGAAGGGATGGAAGGTTTGGCATAAAGTGTATGTTTGTTAGATTTAATTTTAATTTGCAAATAAATTTGCATAATGTGCAGTTAAGATTATTTCAGAAGAATTTACAATACCCCCCATCTTATTTCTTTCTCAACACATTGTGAAAAACGAATGGGGGAGAGGATAATTGCTAAAAAACACAAACTTTTAATTAAAGGTATCTATATGCGAAGGTTCTTTCCTTAGAATGTTATTCAATGTTGCCACCTTCAGGCCAAAGTGTGTCTAGTGAGTAGGAAGATTTTACCGATACAGAATCTTTTGATTTTGTACTATTACACTTTTTAAACCACTCCAGTGCCTCCTCTTCTGTGTGCTGGGAGGGCAATGGCTGGCTGAGGTGGCAATATGCATTTGGAGAAGTTAAATTCCTTCAGCTTAAGGGAAGAGAAGCTGAGGGGAGGAGAATACCACAGCTACTACAATAAACATACGTAATATGTGGTTTCCTTTAAAAAATCATCTCAGAGAATTAGAATTATTCTCATTTACTGTCTGAAGGTTTCTTCAGAACTGCAAAGTATTTTCGTTGCTTTCCCTCTTCCAGATTTTTTCTCAGACTTTTACTTTCTCTTTTCAATGCTACTCTGGCAGCATAAAGGTGAATTGTAAAGTGAATAGATTCGGCTTGGTTGAAATTCCAAACAAAGTTAAACTTGAACTTATGGGAGGTAATCTCATACTTACGTAAGGAGAGTAAATTCTGCCAGAAAAGAAAGAAACTCGTGGTATAGAAACTGCATATTGATCTCAATCTATTGCAAAAGTGCTAAAGATATCTGATTGCAGGAAATTTGAGTCTCCCTTTAGGGGTTCAATGTTAAAATTGACCCTTCTAGGTAGGCACTCACATTCAGTAACATTCCTTTTGTCCTCCTTCCTGCCTCTGCTGGTTTCTTCCAGTGCTGGTCTACTGTGCTGAGCTATTGATTAACCGGTGGCACAGTCCCATTTTCTGTGTATCCCAACCTAAATCCTTTTGAAATATAGCACTGCAAAAACAGCGCCTTCCACCCAAAGAAAAATGTCATACTGTTCTGTAACAACAATGGCAAACACTCTCTCTTTGGACTGAGGAATAGCGCTTCACTTCCTGCTTAAATGGTTTTGCACTGTTGCACTAAAGAGCTGGCACATTACTCCCCACAGGTGGCTGCATTTCAGCGCCTAGGTGAAGTGAGTCTATTTCATCTTTCAGCCAAAGTGAGTACTAAACATAACATAGGGCTCCTCTATTTCCACAGGCTATTAACCTTCCAAAACATTCACCTCGGAGGCTAAACTTCGCAGTACTTCAGCTTCAATTCTGAGAAATGTCTCTTTTCCACAACAACATGATAAGTGAGAGTGAATGAAGTCCCTTGCGCAACAAACGGTAAGCATATGCCAGAGCTAAGCAGGGGCTTAAACAGCTTTCTGAACTTAGTCCTTCTCAAAAGTAACATTTTTATTTTAGCAGGTTTGAGGAATACCTCTTCATCCATCTTCAAATAATAAGAGAATGGCAATAAGAGACGTGATCTGACTGAACTTCTCTCTATGAAAGCATTTTAAAATATGGCACTTTACCCATGGTATTTTCAGAGGACATGCAAAATGCAGCAGAAATTTGGAAGAATTGAATACTGACATCTCTAACAGAAACCAGTAGGTCTGCAAAGACTCGTAGTGTCCTTGACCTGAAAAAAAAAAACACAAAACAAAACAAAACAAAAAACAAAAAACCCTAGATTTCTCGTGTGAGCAGAGGGGGGAGGGGAAGGGGAAGAAGGAATTATAGAGAATGACTTAGGTTGGAAGGGATGCTAAAGATGATTGAGTTCCAGCCCCACTACCATGAGCAGGGTTGCCACCCACATGATCAGGCTGCCCAGGGCCCCATCCAACCTGGCCTTGTATGCCCCCAGCTGACAACAGGACCACCTAAAAAAGCAGTTTTTCTCTGTTAGTTGATAGGGCAGGTGGAAAGGGTTTTTTACAAAGTAGTTGATCTGATTGTTAAACTACTGCTACTTCAAGAGTTTAAAGTGAGCGTATCCCAGGCAAACTTTGAGGGAGGAGCTTTGTCACAGACAGGGGGATATGCGTATATATACACTACATCTGGATTAAACAAGATGATGCGTACGTCTATAAGGTATTGCTGAAAACTGTTATAGAAAAAGGTAATAGCTAAGTATTCAATACCTAATTTTCATTTCCAATAATGTTTAGAAAAAAAAGATGTAGCTGAAGATGAAATACACTCTGTATTTCTAAAATGGGCAATTATAACCAGAAAAATGAAGTGATTAGTCAGAAATACTTCCTACAATGGAAGGAGGAAATAAAAGTGAAATTAGCTGCTAAAGGGATGAAAGTGCCTTCAACAATAATTCACCATTCAGTCAGTGGTAAAGAGAGCTTAGTGGTCCGAATAACAGATTTTGAAATATTTAATCTTCAGGATCCATGGATTTATAGAATAGAAATCTTGACTGTTTTCTCAAATTGAATTGATTGAGCTCTGTGCATTATATTACATGGTTTTATACTGATTAGATTTAAAACTAAATGTCCTTCTGCCCAAAAGATATTTCAAAATTCAAAATTGCATCATCATCATCATTATTTTAATATCATGGGTTTATGTCAGGGACACTGCAGCATTTTTTCTTCATCCACGGTAGCTCAGAAACCAGCATGCCAGTTGGCTGCCACCTTCCACTTGAAAAGCTGCTGTGGTTCAGTGTGACTACATGGGAACATTCATAATACACTAATCACAGTGGTATCTGTGTACTGTATAATCTTTGAAGTGCTTGAGAATGAATGGCTTATATGTATGTAGAATATTATTACTGTATGCTTAATTGGGACATGCTGAATAGAGATAGCTGCATTATTGGGTCGATTTCCTTGGAAACTGATGACAGTGTATAGTAATAACTGTTCATTAATGAACACAGTATTGGCGTATGTTCTGCTTAAGAGGCCTGATTTAGATTCTTCCAAATAAAGTGTTGTTTAGCCAGGTGACAAACATATGCGAAATACCGAACTGTTTTGTTTGTTTGTTTGTTTGTTTGTTTTAATATGCAAGTTGCCAGACCAAGATGAAGAGATGTATTCTCCTGGATTGTTGGGTGGCTCAACTTAGGCTGGCTGAGTTCAGTGCATCGGCTGAGGACAGGGCAGCCTGCCAGCAGAGCTTCACTTTCTTTGGATCTGGCACTGAAATGCTGCTGGCAACAGTAGTTTTCTCTTGGCATTTCTTAGCTCATCATAGGTGAGTGAGTGAGTAAGTGCACAGCCCCATGTACACAGTTATGCACCAAATACTTTGTCACGCCATCCAGTTATAAGCATGAAGAAGATCGCCATGGTGTATCTTCCTCCCAGTTTTCCCCTGTGGAAGACTTCAGGGCTTTGGAGGGCATATGCAAGCATGTCACTCTCTTCAGCGAGCTGTCTTGCATATTTACTTCTTCCTCGTCAGAGCCTTGCAAACTCAGCTTCAAGCACAGATGGGCCCAAGTAGACATTTTCATTTTAATTCAGTAAGTCTCCTCGGACTGTGGTTCAGTCAAGAGCAAAGCAGGAGTTCTGCTAAATTAAGCTGCTGTCTGTGGAAGGACTAATTCAATTTTTAGTCTTGAGAAAAACTGTGGTTTGATAGACTTGGCACATAGGTGGAACTGCCAACACACTGTCATGACAGATAGCCTTAAATCATTTGCTTAGCTGTAATATAGAAATGTATGAATGCACGCCTTCCTCCATAACGACTTTGATCCTCTCTCATCTGACAAAACACCTATCCTCTTCATAGGAATCACCAAGTCTTTGATTTCTTTGTTAGAAAAGTAACCATGTTAGTAAATGTTGCAAATCACTGTGTTATTTGTAACAAGGTATTAAAATAAAAAGCCCACAGATGCTCATTAATAATTTACAACCTCACTCTATAGCTGGTTAAGCACCTTGGACTGTTTTACTTTACCACAGAGCTAAAGAGAGTTTACCATTGTTTCTGTGTTGAGAAACCCTAGAGACATTGATAAATCATTTATCAGTAAAAGAATCTGCAAAGTTACCAGTAGGTGTGATCCCAGAAATTGTTTCTGCTTTCTTTTCAAAATCACTATTTCTTTTGATATTAAAGTATTGTTTTCCATGTCAGTAATCCTTCTAAATATTCTATAAAATGGATCTGGTAATTGCTGGAAAGCTGTTTTACTTGAGCTGCTTGAAATAGATATTGTTTGGTTTTTTTCTGTGCAGCTCTATGCATAGGTACTGGAGCTCCCATCTGCCTCCCTGGTGAGCAGGGTTACTCAACTTGTTCAGTGCAGTGGCTCTCCCTGGAGCCAGCCAGCTGCTTTTTGTGGAACTAGGAAAGAATCAGGGGTACCTCCTTGAGGAAATTCTCAGCACAACTCTTGGCACAGGCCGTAAAAGCATCTCACATGCTAATATTCCACTTACAGTTGCAGTTGTGTCATCCATACAAGTATCTTCTGATTAAGAGATGTGAGAACAAAATGTAGCCCTGTTAACTTATCTGTCAATTATCAGTAGTCAGATCCTAGATAATTAAAAACAAACTTCTTGTTAACAGACAATGGGAATCAATTCTTTGCACGGTCCTAATTTATTGTATTTCACAGAGAAGGTGAATCAGAATCCTGATTATTTTAATTCTCTGTAAGCCCTTTGAAGTCACAGGATGAAATAAAATTGTGACTGAGCCTAGCAATGGACAGGGATCAAGATAGTTTTTCTCTCCATCATGAAATGGAATGGAGTGTTATGAAAAGGTTTTCTTCCAGGTTTTGTCTAGGAAAAAAGAGTCAAATTGTGAAACAGAACATCAAAGAAAGGGAAAGCTATATTCTGAAATAGGCAGAGAGAGACATTTCAACTGTTCCCAATTTGCTAGAAAATATCTTTGCCTCTCTCATCATCGCCTTTCATATTTTTCCCTCTCTCAACTCTGTTAAAATAGTCACTGAGGCTAATGCCTAAAACTATAACAAATAAACAGCTTTAGTGTGGGGTGAATTTATAAAAGGATTGTTATAACTTGTGTCTAGGGACTGGAAAGAACTGTACATCATTATGCAAATATACATGGAATAGGCTAAACAGTGAAACAAAGAGGAAAAGAAAGGAAATCCCTCATGGATAGACCAGACAATTGACACAAGAATTTCCTCTGAAGCAATTCTCTCACATTGTGAAAATACATGTCTGGACCATTTTAATACTTTTTGTTATTTACTCAGTAGACCATAATGGCTCTGAAGCTTACTGCAATGTTTATTCAATAGGCTAAGTCTGTTTTTTTGGCCTATCGTGTGAATTTGTATTTCAGTAATTCTGAAAGGGTGTATTTTACTCAATGGACCACAGTGGCTTCTCTGGTGCCTGTTACATTGTTCAGTATTTTCTAGTATGTTGCAGCTCCTATGTTAATACAGATACAGTGATCTTCATGGTATGCTTTTTGACTGTGCTTTGACGACTTGTTTCCTAAGTCTCTTAGGTGCCTGAATAGAATATCCAATATATTATATTAGTATTGCACCAAGCAGTTTTACATTGTGCCAGGCTTCTGTCTCACTCTTTAAAAACAAAAACCTCCTGGAGATGAGAAGGTGGGAATTATGCCACTGTCCAAGGATTCCTGGAGGAGCTTACAGTTAAACTGGTATGAAAGAAATCCAATTCCCTCCAGTCTCCAGTAGTCTCTGCTTGAAATATTTATTTTTCTGGTTTATCTATAAACATCTCAATGACACTAACTTAAACACAAAGAATATAATGTATTTTTGAGACAGCTTTTGAGCTTTGCCTTTCACTGATTCTTTTCAGCATTCCCCACTGAGGATCTGCATATTTCTTAGTGATCCAAAAGCAAAACTGTAACATCTTAGAAATGTCTAAAGTACAGAGGTTTACTTCCAAAACCAAAAGCATCTCTAGGTTCTAGGGAGAGAGGCACTTTTATAAACAGCAGTTCTTGAAGACCACAAGACTTTTCACCTGTGCCTGACTTTCCTACAGAGTGACAAGGCCACACCTTGAGGTATTTATCTTAGATGCTGTGACAGGGTGAGGATCCCATATTAGCCTTGAAAACACCTTTTTGGATAAAAGCCAGATTGGACTTTCAGTGCATTTTAGCTGGAAGCATTTTATATTGTAATCTCTTCTCTTTCCCTTATTTTAGCAAAACAAAATTGATTACTTCTTTTTGTTGTTGTTGTTTCTCCTTTTCTTGTTTTCTTATTTCTTTCAATACTGTTGGCATTACCAAGACATTAACATTAGTAAGAGAGGAGTTTGCATATGCAAATTTTACTCCCTTAATTAAAATCAGGCGCACTTGGTTATGCTGCTGAGCCCCACAGCTGCAAATTTGTAAACAAAGGTTACATGCTTAGAAAGGAAAATGCCTTAAGTCACTTTTCTGTGGTAGACCTTCCTTAGTCTTTAGTCTGCTTTTAATGTGAAGCCCAGTGCTGAATTAAATTCTTTGTTCCTAAACTGGAATGCATGCTGTTCCAGGGGCTCATTTTGTGGTTATTTTGTTTAGACTTGGGATTGCTTTATTTCCATTTTGTATTTGCTCATCTAGCTTGGAACCTCTTGCTTTCTGGTTGGTAGGAATAAAGCAAATAAGGTCAGGTGAATGTTATATAATGTGATGAGATTAATAGGGAAAAGAAGCCATGGAATTCCAGCTTTTTTTTTTTTCTTCTTCTTTCTTTCTTCTCCTTTCTTTTCTTTCTTCTTCCCACCTCTACTCTTCTCCCACTGTGTGGCCTCATTTCTTGAAAACTTGAAGAATGCTGCATTTCTGCTGGAAGTTATGCACTCTGTTCATGGACCTGAGAACATAGGTTGGTGAGGCATTTTCCTTTTTCGAAAACATGTTTTCTGAAATGCTTACTTCTGTCCTTGTGCAGTAGTCTTTAGCTCCACTCAGTTATGTTTATACAGACCTTCTTTCTAAAGGGATCATTCAAAAGATCCAGTAAAAAGAAGAGCAATGAACCTAGCGGAGCATCCTAGTACCATGCGCGTCCTCTAAATCAGTTAATTTCAGAGATTTCATTTATAGCACAGCTCTATGCACAGTGTTGGCATGACCAATACACGTGGTGTGAACTAGGTGGAAAGGGGCATAGGTGAGGAATAATTACTGTTTAAATTACATATCAACGTCACGAGTGTACTGTGCAGATGGATCCTCTCTGATGCAGACAGTGATATTGCATTTTGATTTTTTTGAGCATAAAACACTGTAGCAGAGCAGAAGATTGTTTTTCTAACAAATGTGCAGCTGATTGAACTGTCAAGTTCTTTTTGACCACTTATCTCCATGTCTTAACATGTGAATCTAGTTCTGGAATAGATAAGGGAGTCACAAGAATAGCTGTTTATTTCAAGAAACTATAGGTGTTTCTTTAAAAAGCCATGTATGCGGTGCAAAGTAGCTGTGATGTTCTACCTTGCTGTTATACTACACTTGTTTTACAGGGCATAAGTGACTATGTGAGCTATTTGTAAGTAGAGAATGAGACTGTTGTTGTAGGCAAGAAGCTCTGAGATTTTGGAAGGTTATGCTGTGATGTACACTATTAATTTTTTAAGAACAAATATAGCAGAGACTTATTTTTTTCAACATTGATCCTAACTTCAACACTTGGAGGTCTTCTGTCCTTCTTGTTTGAGTATGTATTGGCTTTCACGTGTTGTGAAATATATGTGACAAAGTTCAGTATCTGCGCTGACAATTTTTCCAGAAAGAGGTGGGTTTGGAAAAAGGCAGCGTTCTTCAGAAATGGCAAAGTCTGAAGCTGATGCATGACATTTCCAGTTTGTAAGTTCTACTGACTCATTTCACTGAAGGATGGAGTGTAAGTCCAAGTCCACTCATCACTCTTCACATGCAGCCCCTAATTAGTTAGGGAAGACCAACAGAAATTACCAACAAACTCCACAGGCCTCTTGAGATCATCTAGTAGAACACAGCTGGCAGGACCTAAGTTC